TTATGATTGGCTAATGTCATTGCATAGAAAACAGTATCAACGCCCACTCGCTATTGCATGTGAGTGTTCTGACAACATAATCAAAATAAAACGGTCATTTCCAGACAAACATTATGAATTAATTTACTTTGTGATGCAGCTGCAATCAGATCTAGTACCGCTTCATCTTTTAACAAATGTTTCTTTGTGAACTCTCTATGACACTGTGCCTCGTTTACAAAACAAAATCCTCAGACACGATCCGGGATGCCATTAAAAATAAACTATCCACTTGTTCCTTACGCTGGGAAACTTCTGATATCTGTACAAAGACGCAAACGAGCTGTTTAAACCAAATGCGTCAAAGTGAACATTCTTTCACTCCATGTGTCCTATTGACAGACTCAAGCACATGGACTGTGTCAGAAAGCGAATGCGCATCTGTATACTGTATCCAGTGTAGACAAGATAGAGGCAGTGATTGTAATTTCTGTTCTGCAGAAATTCTATTCTGCATTCAGCGTAATCAAGTGTCAAGCCGTTAAGCGACTGAACGCCAGTGGGCAGGGCCTATGGTGAGAAGATGGCTGTTCGTCAGTGTCTTGCTTTGGAGGTGGTCATATGAAAATGACCCCACCCGGATGACGTCACCTTGCACCTCGGATCCAAAACGAGCTGTTTTCTGAGGGTTATTACATAAATGCTTTTTTTATTGATGATGAGGACATTTTAAGTTATGAAACTTGGAGGATGTATTAAAGGTGCACTAAGCGAATTTTGCCAAACGATGTTGATATTTGAAAGCACCAAAACAAACACACCCATAGGCCAACAGGACCTCGCCCCTATTTTAAAATCTCCGCCCCACACGTACGTATGCAACCCTGGCAACGACGATCGCGGAAACAAGTGAAGAAGACACACAAGCATATTCAAACAAAAGCCAACACGGATAAGTTGTGTGAAACAATGCAAAATCAACATTACTCGCCTATCAAGAAGAAACAACGCAACCTCGGCATCCGATTCCAGGCCTTCCCGCTCCTTGAGTTCTCTCCACTGCTGGAAAGCCGCTCAGATATTTACGCGGGTCCTACCTCTTGCCTGATAGTAACCCTTATTTTTAATGTTTTGTTCCTCTGATATTTTCCTCTTTTCTTATCTGCCATCTTTCTCTATCTATAGTCGATCTGCAAATATCTGTCATGTGCTCTCAAATTGAGCGCTCTCTTCTCCCTATCATTGCTAAACACGCCCCCTTACTGCTGATTGGCTACAAGTGTGTTTTGGGACTCAGTCCGACACTGTGGTCAAAGGCGTTTTTCAGATATTGCTTAGTGCACCTTTAAGCAAACAAAGACTTCTTCTGTGCAAAAGAAATCAATGTAAATTTGGTTTCTCATGTCATGACCCCTTTAAATTACATTGTTAAATGTAATCTAGCAAATCTCAAAATGAATATCTATTTTTCATAATGTACGTTGTTGTGATCCCTAAATTCACTTGTAGATTTAAAACTAATAATTTCAGTTTTAGTATTTATATTTTTTTTATAAAATAGTGTAGATTTTAATTTGTAATATGTTAACGTTAAATTTAATTCATATAATTATTTAATATTTTAAAATAATTATTGGCTTATTGTATCAGCCAAAATTCTAATGATATATTCCTATTTATTAGTGTAAAACTTTTTATCAGCCAAAACTCTTTAACCTAAAATATTGAGATTTTAAGTTAATATTTCAATAATTCAACAACACTTTTGCATGTTCACAGTTCACTGATGTCTGTAAATAGTCACATGGCACACAGGTTAAACAATATTTCAAAATAATATATGAAATAGTATATTTTTAGCAAGTGTTTTATTTACATTATTTTTTAATTTTACAGTTATTTATCTATTTATTTATTTTAATTTTACATTTAATTTAGTAATTATTAGCTTTTTATTAACTCACAGACTTCAGTTTGGAAAACGCTGGCATAAATGGAACAAATATTTTTAATTTAAGCATGGTTACAAAATTATTCTGATGATTATATCTTGATGATTCCCCCCCACCCCAGACTCATACCCTGTTCTCTCTGCTGGGCCTCAGTCATGCCTATGTAACCAATACTGGAAAACTAGTGGGAGTCGTGGCACTGAAAGAGGTAGCTCATCTATCCATCCATCCATCCATCAGTTGTCATGGCTAGTTAATTCTTCTTTTCCAGATTGTCTAACCCTTATTCCTACTTCTGCATCAGCTCCAAAAAGCCATCGAGGGTTCCACGCGCAGTGGTGTACGCTTGCGCCCCCCTCTGGCCAGTTTCCGTGACACAATTCGTAAAGCTTCAAAGCCTCCTCAGGCCTCCTCCCCTCCATCCTCACCCGGCTCCACCACAGCTCCCTCCTCGCCTCTGTCCGCACCCGTGGTCCCTCACGTCCATTCCCCGAGCCCAGCGGCCCCAGTGCAGCAAGAGAAGGAGGAGATGGAGGTGTGGATTGAGGGCGTGAAACGAGAGGTGATCGTGGGTAACAGCAGTAGCACGACGACTGGAAGCAGTAGTGGCAGCAGTAGCGGGACAGGAAGTAGTGACAGTGAGACAAGAAGTCCCGATAGCAGCCCAAACCTACCGCCATCCTCTCCTCCACCCCCCATCCTTCTCTCCACCCTGCAGCCCGTCCCGGAGAACAAGGAGGGTGAAGAAAACGAGGACGAGGAGCCCCTTTAGAACAAGTAAAGTTTGTTTTTCTTTTATTTAAGGTGTGAACAGTGTACTTTTGTTCACTTTTATTTTTATATACCAATTTCATGTTTTTTATTCATGTGCTCATTTCAAAGGTTTCAAAATGTCTGTTCTTTTCCTGAGTCACACTCAGTTTGTTCTCCTGCTTTCTTTTCTGCTTCCTTTTCCTCTATTCTCTTCCTCTTTTTTTCCCCCACTATACATTTCTGTAAATAATTTTCTTTTCCTTTCTTAATTTCTTCCTCTTTTTCTTTTTTCCACTTAAGAGGAAAAGAAAACTGACAGAATTTATAGAGGAAGAAGAAGAAAAATAAGAAGAGAAAGAGTTCTCTTCTTATTTCTCCTCTTCCTCTAGAATTTTCTGTAAATTTTCTTTTCCTCTTTTTTGTTTTTCCTCTTTCTTGTTCTTCTTCCTCCTTACACTTGCCCTGTTTATTTCTCTTTCCTCTAAATATTTCTGTAAATAAATGTAATCTCTTCCACTACCATTTGCTCTTCCTCCTCCTCCTTTTTTCCTTTTCCTCTTAAAAAAAATCTGTAAATAAATATAAAGTGCCCATGGGATTATGCTCAAATAGGTGCTCTTTTTTTCTCCCCAATAACACTTCAAATATTTCTTGTTTTTCAGCGTGTTCCCTTGACATTCAGTAGTTTAATGTAACACTGCTGTGTGACTGCAGTTCTTTTCAGTGGGATTGTAAAAAAAAAAACATAAATGGGGAATCGTCAAACATTTGCTGATTATATTAAAAAATATATTTTATTGGAGCACCAAAACATGAACATTTTCATTACTGACATAAATGATAATGTTAAACCAGGTTTACATGCGGCAGACATTATTTCAGACCTCATAAAAGCACTTGAAGTCTTCATACACCTGGATCATTTCATATGATAAAAAAATCAATTTCCAACAAAGAATATTTGCACTGTTTGTGAAGTAGTTGTCAAAAATATCTTAAGAACAAAACATGGCCAGCAGGTGGCACATTGTGGACCTTTTCAGTATCTGAACTTTCTTTCCACCTGGAAACTATTTTCCTTGTGCCCTTTTCCAGTTCAAATTCAGGGTGTGCGCACTGTCCTTTCTTAATGCAACCCTTTATGTCCTGCCTTCATCTATCCATCATTTTCTGAAATCTCTCTCAGGTGTCTCTCATGTCTTTAAACCAAGGACTCTGCTGTTTATGAACAATCTGTTGGTTCATGTGATCTGCTGTCTTCTTCTTTTAAATGTTCCAGTTAACTTAATGTGATTTTATATCGGTTCAGTCTGTGAGCAATAACTTTATTTGCCTCCATTTTTATTTGTTTGTTTGTTTTTGTCATATTTATTAATTAATTTATTCATTCATCTCTTTCCTTCTTGGCGTGATGAGATATCGACAGAAAAAATGTTTGCTTCTTAATGTAGCTTTGAAACGTTGATTGTTTTTGTCTCATATCTTCCAGGAATTAATAACAATTCAATAAACAGTGATACATTTGGATTAAAAAACTTTTATTGCACATACTTTTTAGATTAGTCAGCGTGTTTAGTAAGTGTTTTTATTATTTTTTGAATCATTGTGTAAAATAATGAAGTGATTATCTTAATATATCTAAACAATTTACTGATAACTCTCTATAGCCATTGACAAATGAGACAGACCTTCACAATAAGGATTTTATTTACAGCACATTAAAATGCACATGATTTGAATGAGGTTACAGGATGACACCGAATGGAGTTGAAGAAACTGCAAGATCGCTATACCTAGTTTTATTTTATATTCCTCAATAATCAGAACTCCATTTATGATTTCACCGCATTGCCATTCTGCACTAAATGCATCATATTTCACAGAATATGACAGAAATATGACCTTGTGACATCATTGCTGTCAGCTATTAACGTTGCCATCTTTTGGACATTTCACAAAGAGCTCTGACATTGAAGATGCTGAGAGTGTACTTCCCAAAGGACGTGATTTTGAGAGATCATCCACTTCAATCGTCCTCATTTCGCCTGCTCTCGAATTTTGTTCCAAACACAGCCATTAGATCTGTGAAAACGACTCTCATTCGGCAGACGCTAGTCCTACGATGTGTCGAAATATCACAAAGAATGACAACTCGCAGGCCTCGTTAGTATAGAAAAATAAATGTTTCCTCAGCATTGCATAACGGCATTAATCAAAACTTTCAAAATCATCAAAGAATATAAATCGTTGCTAAACCAAATGCCTTCTAACTCTAAATTAGTGTTAATGTTGCCACATCCAAAACGTTTTTCTCTCTCTCTCTCTCTCTTTTGGAGCGTATATAATTTTCGACACAGGTTTGAGATGTGCACGCTAGTAGTCGAGGGCACTTCTTTCTGCAGCGGGTATTTCAATTACAGCTTATTAAATAATTAGTGGAAAGCCTGCAAGCATTAACCAGAAAAGCACCTTCTTTTCACTTCTTTGCACAGTTGTATGGTCTGTCGTGACAAAAACATACTGTGACCGAACATGTCAACTAGCCCATTACCACATGATTTTACTGAGGGTAAAATGAGAGTTTATCTCTTTGCATTAAGTCAGCTACAGGGAAAGCTATAACATAAATAACATGGGAAATATGCATCACATAAATGGCTCCTACATATTAGTTCACCAAAAAATGGACCCATGAGTTTTCCAGTTTGGTTTCCCGTAGTCTCAGACTCAACGGATTAAAAGTATTCAAAGTTTACTCCTCTTTTTGCATGAGCAGCTTAATGGAACTTCCCAGAATGATGACGATGACTCTTCAGTTTTCCTTTTGTTGTTCAGTGCAAATCAATATTGAGCAGCTCAGCCAGGCAGATAAACACAGACATCGATGTGAAAAAACGTAGAACAGAAGAAAACAAAAACTTGAGGACAGAACCGGGCTGTCGCTAAGAAGATACAATACATTCGTTTATGTCCATAGTAGTGCATAAGTCTTAGTAACAATACAGTTAGGATGTTGAAAAGGGCAGCACTGTTTCCATTTGGGCAGTATTGTGCTTGGATATATTAAGAGCAAAAACATGTTTTCCAGGGTGTGTACGTGTGTGTGCATCAGTGTTTGTGTAAGTGTGTGTGTGTGTGTGCGAATGTGTGGAGGTACATAGGGGACACTTCACGCAAACGGCAAATTCGTAACGTTTTTTCAGAATATACCTTTAAAGACACATACATTCTTACATTCATACTAACATACATACAGTACATACATGTTATATATACATACAAATACATATTGTTTCATTGGCTTTTAGTTTTATTACAAAAATCAATATATATTATTACTATGTGGATACTGTTAATTCAGTCACTTAAATACTCAAAAAAAACAAAAAAAACGCATGCACTTTCTTTTGGTTGTATTGATTTCTCAGTATTGCACTCTTCGTTTTCATTCGCAAGCGGCCTTGGACTCCCGCGCTCCCGCCATAAAACAGCAGCAGCAGCAGCACATGTAATGCATCATCCCAGCTTTGACGCTCTCCCACGTTTAGTCTTTAAATGCGCCTGACGCTCAGAGCGTGTTCTTTCGGCGTTTAATAACGAATAAATCTGTTCCTGATGTGACAGTCCGTACGAGTACACATCTGGGGTAAAAGGGCGTATACAATAGCTTAACTGGTTGATTATTTCACAGACAGTTTTGTTTTTTGAACCTCAGTTGGTTGCCACAATGACAAAAGCCCCATCCTCCACCTCTTCTTCCTTCTCCTCCAGCGATTGGACGACGCAGGATGTGACCTCATAGGTCATGTGCTCAGCCACTGGCTCTGCTGGTGCTTGCCCTGGGCTCATGCCCCTAGGTGGGGTGGAGCCCTCTCTTTGAGGCGGAGGGGTCAGGGCAGGAGTTAAGGATGTCGACTCGGATTCGAGGGTGAGTGTTATGTCATCCTCCTTGAGAAAGAGAAAAAAAATAAAGAAATAGTTTACCGAATTTGCTGAAACATTAACAAACCCTCGGTCCATCCAAAATGTAGAGGAGTTTATTTCTTCATCAAAACTGATTTGGAGAAATGTAGCATTACATCACTTTCTCACCAATGGATCCTCTGCAGTGAATGGGTGCCGTCAGAATGAGTCCAAACAGATGATAAAAACATCACAATAATCCACAAGTAATCCACACGACTCCAGTCCATCAATTCATCTCTTGTGAAACGAAAAGCTGCATGTTTGTAACAAACATATCCATCGTTAAGGTGTTTTAACTTTAAACCGTCATTTTTGGCCTAAATACCAGTCCGTAATCCATAATAATGCTTCTTCCAATGGAAAAAGTCTGTTGTCTTTTCACATGAAAATCCACCAACATTTTTGTTTAGAAATGTTTTGGACTGTTTTTGCTTGTAAACGGTCCTTGATCTGTGCATATTTCTCTCCTGATTCAGACGAGATTACATTTTCAGTGGAGAAAGCAATATTATGGATAATTCGTATATTAGCCTGAAGCAATAGTTTGAAGTTATAAACACAGTTTATCACTTCACAAGACATTCATTGATGGATGTGTGGATGTTTTTTATCAGCTGTTTGTACTCTCATTCTGACGGCACCCATTCACTGCAGAGGATCCATTGGTAAGTGATGTAATGCTAAATTCTTCCAAATTTGTTCTGATGAAGAAACAACCTCATCTGAATCTTGGATGGTCTTAGGGTGAGTACATTTTCACTGAACTGGTGGTGAAGGAAGTGGAAATAAAATATCTCACCTTGGCTTCCTCTTCCTCTTGCTGCTCCGGGATGCATTCGTTCTCTACAACAGATTCCTCGCCGTACACTTCTGCCATTCCCATTTCGGCCATGGTCATGCCCATGTGTCCCATCATCTCCACCTGATGGGGCTCCACCTGAGCTGCCGCCCACAGGTCAGCTAGTCTCGGGTGAGTGGGCGGGCCCAAACTGTGAATAGTGCTGTTGGGCGTGGCTTGTAAGGAGTGGGAGGCGCTGCGCAGTCGATATTCCATAGACTTCAAGAGGAAATGAGGAAAAAGAATTACATAAAACATAACATTTTTTACTGAACATCTTAAATGAGGCAATGAACTGCATTACTAACAAGCATTGCAGTCGATGTAATTTAATTTTTTTAATCAAAATATTTAAAACTATTTTATTTCAATATTTGATTATAAATCTTATGAAAAACATTTTGATTAAATTGATTGCAATAGATTAGTGATTTTAAAAGAAATTTCTTAGGCTGCATTCATTTGATCAAAAATACAGTAAACATTAGAATTTTCATTCTAATATGCAAATTTGTAGCTCAGGAAACATTATTATTATTATTATTCATATTATTATTATTATTTACATATAATTCTATACATTTAAAAATGATTTTAAAGAATTTCTAATCTGGCACTGAATGGTCTACCCTTAGAGACGTAACACCTGAACTCCATCACACCTTTCAGTCATAGTAATTGCTGTTCTAAATACAGCAAGACCACCTACAGTGCCACCCTGTAGACGACACCTGGCTAAAAGAGGTCAAATGGTAGAGCTAAACACAACTCTCTAGTGTTCCTCTGAGCATGTAAACATGGCAGCATGTCAAACTGTGTTTTCTAACCTGTTGATACTGCAGGAGCTGCTGCTGCTGATACTGTTGGAGCTGCTGTAGGTGGTTCTGCTGCTGCAGTGTCAGCTGCTGCTGTGGTAAATAGTGGGTGGAGCCATCATAACCCTCTCCCGAAGCCCCGCCCGCCATGATATAAGAGCCAGCAGTGGGAGAAGCCACGCCCGAGGGCTCGTTGCTGATTGGCTCCCACGCGTCAGAGGAGGAGAGACAGTAAAGGCCTTGAGAGACGTAGGTGTGAGGCCACACTTCTGCAGAGGAATGATGCAACGGGTGGTCTGAAGGACAGACGAAAAACGAAGAAGAGACAAGGTGAAGTGCAGAATTCAAATGCAGATTGGAACCAAAGTGGTTTCTAGAAAAATAACTACATTAGCGTCCACACCAATGAATAATAATGTTCTGTATATTATAAGCGCATGCTGCAGTTATGTCATCTGCCGCTTTAAATGCTCAAGCCCTTTATAGCAGGATGCATTCTGATTGGCTGTCAATGTTTATATCATTCATCAGCTGGAAAAAAGTCGTTCTGAAAGTGATTCCAACGATAGCATTCCTCTGTGTCGTTATCAATATAGTTGTGGTGTGGACTCAGCTATTCTTTTAAATTTAAAAAGATTTTTTAACTATATCTTACAGTTATCGTACTTGGTGTGAATGGACCTTAAATCTGAAAAATTCTAAAATTCCTTTTTATGTTCTACAGTGCATGCATAATTATAAGGCAAGTTGATATTCTGATCATATTTTTTTCCAAGCACATTTGACCAATTCCAAACCACATCAATCTTAATAACTACTATTAATTTTGTATTTAATCATTTTTAAGTGATGAAGGCTGGAAGTGAAAAACTCCTTATATTCAGGTGTGCATAATTATTAGGCAGGTTTTCTTTTACAGATAAAATGATGCAAAAAAGAGGTTTAACTCAGACTGAAAGTCAAAAATTATTAAATGCCCATGAGAAGGATGCAATACTTATGCAATATTAGATTTTGCAAAGTTAAGGCATGACCATGGGACAGCGAAATGCAGAAAAAACAGGTGGAGAAGAAAAGACACATGTTAACTGCAAAAGAATGAAGAATTAAGGGGAAGAATTAGGTGTGAAACCATCAGGAACCTTTTAGTCTCCAGCGCCACCATTTTCCAGAACTGCAACCTACTTGAAGTCTCCAGAAGTGCAATGTGTCAGGTTCTTAGAGACTTTGCTTGGGTAAAAAAATCCAAAAAATGACCCTCACTTAATAAGAATCACAAGCTGAAGTGTTGTGAAATACATGAAGACTGATTTTTATAGGCTTTACAGACAGCGTGACTCTTGAAGGACCAGCATCACATCCTCTTGTACCACTCTTTCAAGAATTTATCTTCCAGAATCTGGCAGTAAGTTCTGGGAGTTCATTTTTAGTCCATCTCCTGTCGTGAAAGATGGAAGTCAATGGGAGGCGAAACTTTTTGGTTACCAACATTCTTCAAAATGTTCCTCAAATGAAAGAAAGCCATACATTATTGCTTTAAAAATCTTTATAATCATGGTTTTTCATCATTACAATTCTCCGCTACACAAAATCCTCATTATTTTGACATAATCTGGCCAAAGAGATGCTTTTTGTTTGGTGTTACGCTGCAACCTTGCTTCAACCCAGGGCTTGTATAAACTCTGATAGCTGAACCTCAGGAAAACTGCTGTTCTGCGATTCTCCCCCATCGCCTTTGGGCCTGCAGCTGTCACTGTGGCATCTCTGACACATCTCCACACAATAAATAAAGTGTTGGCAATGCGCTCTAGATCTGTCAAATGGACTGGAAGGCACATCAGTCAAGGCTAGGTAAACAATATAAATCAAATCTGCAGAAATATCCAAGCGCTCACATCAGTGAAGCATAGAGGTGTGGTTATGAGACTCCTGTTCAAAGATGCAAACAGTTTCTACTGCAAGAGCAGCTTAATATTCAGAAGCTTTTGAGCTGCCAGTGTAATAATTATGCGAGGATGCGCTTAAGAAGTGTGTGCTTGTACTATAATATCTGAGCTGTGGATTAACAAAAGATTGTTCTTTTCATCTAAAGTCAAACAAAACAGAAATCATAAATCTCTCCAACAATGTCTTCATTCTGTTATGGCATGAGGTGGTTGTTTGTGACCCTCACCTCTGCTGGTGATGCTCTCCTGGTTAACCTCACTGAGGTGAGCCACGCTGCCCTGGGTGGAGTCGGCACAGAAACTCTCTCCATCCATAGAGTTCCAGGCTAAGAGTGTGGCCTCAGAAATGGCAAACTGCTGCAAAATGCCTGCAAAAAGCAAGATAACAATTTTGATAAATAAACATTTTAAATATATACAGATTCTTAGTGGGTGGCTGACTCCACTAAACACTTACCAACTCTTATTTTGAAATATATATACAATACCATTCAATAGTTTAGGGTTTAGGGTTGTTTTTTTAAAGGGGTCATATAATGCTAGTTGTTTGAACTGAAATGTGTGTTAGCAGTGTGTGTACACAACCACCCTAAAATGATAAAAATCCACCCAGTGGTTTTTTGTTAATCTACTAAAATATTTACCCCTTTCTCAAATCGAGCCGATCTCAGATGCCTGTCTGTGTGACATCACACAGACAG